GTTTTCTTCCAATCCAGCCAATCTCCGAGCCGGGAGAGCCGTCACCTGATGATGGGGTTTGCTTCTTCTTTTTTTTTTTTTTTTTTTTGGTTTTTCTGGTGGTTTTTTTTTTTTTTAGTGGATGGAAGTCCCCAAGCCTGGCGAAATAACGGCGTAACCATGGCAATGCTAATTATTGCCCTATAACTACAGTAGGAGAGAGAACGCGGGGTAGGCTGAGAGGGAGATTTGAAGAGGGTTTTTTTATTCTTTGGCTCTTGGTCCCGTGTTGATTTTTTTCCCCCCTTTTCTCCTATACAAAATCTTTTTTGCAAGCAATTTTTTTTTCTTTTTATTTTTCTCCCCGACAGTGGTTCAGGGAGCTTTGATAGGTGTTTCTGGAATTCCTGAATAGAGGAGCTGAAAGCTCCAGAGCAGGCAGGCACTGAAGTTCTGCCTTGCTCTTTTAAGCTGATTTAGAGTCATGTAAAACATAAAAGATGCTTCAGCAAGAGATCAGATTTATTTAAGTTTCCTGCAGCATCACTTGGCAGCAAACACGCATCAGCAGCAGACACCACTTTAACACATCTCTGAGAGCTCTTGAAAGCAAAAGGGTTTGAAAGCAAAATCAACTGCATCCAACTAAATTGTGTTCTTCTGAGAGATAAAGATGTTTTCCTGGATCTGAATCCCTTTAGGTTTACCCTTGGTGTCAGTGACAATTCCCTGACATGTCCTAATTACTGCTTTACTCCTCAAGGTACCAGTGACTCCTGTAATACTCTTCCACATAAATTAATTAATTTAGCTTTTCATTTGCAAGAGTTCTTTTAGTGACTTTAACAGGGAGTTTGGACCACACAGGAATTTTTGAGTACTGTAAATATATTCCAATATTCTCATTTTGTACCACATGCTGTATCAGAAGCAAAGCAAAACAGGTGATCTGGAGCATGTAAAAGGTGTCAAAAGCAGAGCTTTAAACGAAAAGCAGCCTGTCACAGCTGTGCCTGCTGTTGTTGCTGGTACCTGGCAGATATGGTGCCTCCAGTCTCAAACCTTTCATTCTGCTCCTTTAATCTGTCAAAAACTGCCTAAAAAATGATTTTTAAAGTATCAATAACTTCATGTATCTGAATGGAAGCTATCAGCAGTCTGTGGAGTTCTTTTTATGCAGATGCTGATCTGTCACAGCTGACAGGATCCAGGGGCTGGGAGAAGTTTTTCCAGGTGTTCCAGGATTAACACATGTATCCCCCAGGAGCTGGGCACAGAGCTCCTCCCAAGGCTCTGGATTGCAGGGTTAATACAGAATGACCAGGTTCTAAGTCCTGGTTTCTCCCCCATCAAAGCCAAACGTGCAAATTTCTGACAGATGTGAAAATAAGGAATCAGTTTGGGTTTGTTTCCAGGCAGTTTCTCTGCTGGGTTCCTGGGCCTGCTTCCCCTACAAATGCTCCACAAGAGGTTTTCTCAACCAAAATGTTCCAGACTGGTCAAAGGAACACAAGACCAGGTGAAGGGTGTCAGTAACCAGCTGTGAAACCACGGGGCACATCTGGATTTGGATACAGAATTCCAGCCTGGTGGTTCTTCCCCCTGACCTGCAGGAGCTTTGGCACCCATCCATCTCTTTCCAGGGCCAATGCAGCAATTCCTGCTCCCCGTTAACCTCCCTGCTGCTTTGCAGGCTCCTGGCCTCAGACCCTTCCCAGCTGAGTGAGGATGAGCTCCCGGGGGATTTGCAGTCCCTGTCCTGGCTGACATCCGTGGATGTGCCTCGGCTCCAGCAGATGGCCAGTGGGAGAATGGATTTCAGCCTGGGGCCCCAGAGTGCCATGCTCCAGCAGACAGGTACTGTGGGATAGGGAATGGGAAATGGGAAATAATGGGAAAAACTGCTCCTTAAACAGCACAGCCTGCCCCTGCCACTCCCCCTCAGGCTCGCTTTTCCTATCCTTTCACATTTTGCTTCCTGTCCAAAGACCTGGAGCCTGTTGGCTTCTCTTGAGGGCTCTGCTGGTGCCTTCCCCCCATTCTAAGAGGGAGAAAGCTCCAGCACTGGCACCACTCAGATCCCATGGGAATTTCTGCCCAGTGCAGCTGCTGGTGCCCTGTTGGGCTGGGCTATTTTAAGTCCTGGCTTTCAGAGGTTTTCAGCACCTCTGAAATGAGATAATTAATCTTTTTGCTTTGTTTCAACACTGATAAAGCAAAGGGCACCTCATTTACCTCACACCTCTTTGCTTCTTGCAGCCTTGCAGCCTATATTGGCTGAACTCCTTTCTTTCCCTTGTGAGCATCCTTTAGGTAAACACACATCACAGAGCTCAGAGTGCCACCCTGCCTGCCTGAGAGCACAATCCAGCTGATGCTGAACGTGTTGTTTCTCTTTTGTAAGACACAGTGTCTGTGTCACCACCGTGAGCTGTTAAACAGCTGCCGCCTCTCATTCCCTGCCTAACGAGTTTTGGGAGCAGCTGATGTCATCTGGGCAGGCTGTGAAGAGCCAGGGAGGTTGGATTCTCCACTCCAGAGCTTCCCTGTGCTCAGCTGCATCCATTAACCCCCTTCCTTCCCTGAGCTGTGCTTCCATGGGAGCATCCCTTGCCTTCCTCTCTCCACGCCAGGTGCCGTGGGGAGCGCGATGCACTCGACGCCTGGAGCGATGATCCACGTCCAGGCCAGTCTCCCCCAGGGAATCCTGGGCCTCAACTCCATTTCCACACACGGAGCCAATGTAAGAGCAGGCCTTGGTGGGTCTTTATTGCCCCAGCTCCTGGGATAAGGTGGTGGAACTCCTTGACTGTTGTGTTTTTCTTGGCAGATGAGCCCCTACGCTGTGGGTGGGCAGCTGTCCCCTGGTTTGCAAACACAGCAACAGCTCTTCCCTCCTCATCCTCATCCTCCTCCTCCTCACCCCCAGCAGGTGTTTGCCCTGGCCCAGAACCCCCAGCAGGTACTGGTATGTGCTCGTTGTCTGTCTTGGAAGTACCTGCCAAGATCAAATCTAGATGTCTTTTAAAAGAAAACCAAGATGTCCCTAAACCCACACATCCCACTGGTCATTTTGCATCTGTCACTTCCCTTCTTTTCCCTGTGCACACAGTGTAACCCAGCAGCAATCTACAACACATCCTATGGGACACAGCCACACTATTCCCAGCCCCGCCTGGCTCCCCACTCTGCCCAGGAGCTGCACCCAAAGCATTATCCCAAGCCCATCTACTCCTACAGGTGAGTGGGGAGCAGGAGGCACATTGCCCACAGCCTGTCCTGGGGTGCCTGTGACACTGCAGGGGTGTCTGGGTCCTTTGGGAGGGAACAAAATCCCCCCGGTCCATGCAGGAGCTGTGTGGGAGCTGCCTCTGAGGGGTGGCAGGCGTGAACAAGGAAAGTTATTCCTGGAGAGCAGTGAGAGAGTAACAGCACAGAGGAGTAAAATCTGAGGATCACGGGGAAGTGGTCACAGCTCCAGGCCTGGCAGAGCCCAAGAAGAAGGGTTTGAACAATCCTTTTGGGAATGTGGTGTGTCTCTTGGGGATGGGCCAGGAGCTGGACTCAGTGATCTTCGTGGGTCCCTTCTAAATCAGCTCATCCTGTGATTCTGTGACTTCTGAGCCCTTGGGAGCAGGAATCCCAGGATCCCAGCTGTCTGTGTCTGAAGAGGTGGGTGCAAGGGTGCCAGACCAGAAGGAGGTGTGGAGTGGTAGGACAAGAGGAGTGAGTTCCCACTGCCAGAGGCAGGGATAGATGGGATATTGGGAAGGAATTCCTCCCTGTGAGGATGGTGAGGCCCCGGCACTGGCTGCCCAGAGAAGCTGTGGAAGTGCCCAAGGCCAGGCTGGACATGACTTGGAGCAACCTGGGCTAGTGGAAGGTGGCAGAGTGTGAAACTCGATGGGCTTTAAGATCCCTTCCCAGCCAAGCCATTCCATGATTCCAAGCCATTCCTGGGTTTCCTGCCCACAGCTGTTTGATTGCCATGGCACTGAAGAACAGCAAGACCGGGAGCCTGCCCGTGAGCGAGATCTACAGCTTCATGAAGGAGCACTTCCCCTACTTCAAGGTACCTGGGCCTTCCCCAGCTCGGAAATGTCCCATCCCAACCCCCTTTCCCCCACGGTGTGGTGTTCTTGGGTCCCCAGGATGAGGTGAGAGATGAGAATTTGACTCCAAGTTCTCAGAAGGATGATATTATATATATATAATATATAATATATAATATATATATTATAATATATAAATTATTAATATAATATAATATAATATAATATAATATAATATAAATTATAGTACAGTAATAGTATAGTATATAATAGTATTAATA